GATAAACTGTTTAGCTTTGGGTAAAATGCAGCGCTTGTCACTGTCACTTTTTACCCAGCCGCCCAATCAATGGAGGAGGGGCGGTACAAATACTACACCGTCCTACTTGTACAACAACTGAACAACAATAGAGAAGTTAATATTGCTGGTTACTGCATTTTTATATTTAGCAATATTCTTCAAAATGAGATACTAGTAATACATTACTGCCGTGGATATTTCAAATCATAGCAACCAAAGCGTCTCTCAGCTCGAAAAACGCTGCGCCACCAAAGCGTTCTCCAGCACCACCAGCTGGCCATTTTAAGAAGAGCGCCTGAGTTTTTCAGATGGCTAAAAACGCTTTGGTGGACACAAGTTATTGAATATTTATTGTTGGGCATATGGCCTATTAGTGTTTTTTTTTTGCATTTATGCAATATACTGGAGCCAAACCTGAGAAAGTAGACCAGAATATTCCACTGCGTTCCTGGACACGCAATTTACGTAGCTGTAATTCATAGGCGGGGATTATGCTAATTGTGAATGAGCGTGCACGAGCGCCCTATTTACGAATGATTGGAATTCATTAACATACACATGTTTAACTATCAAATCTGATGTGTACGAAGTGTTTGTGAATTTGGAGGAGAGTTTTCGGGAAGGTCCGTTTTACGCGCAAATTACTCCGAATTTACTCCTATATTTACGAATTTTTAATGAATGAGGCCCAATGCAAGTAAAATAACTGAAAAGGAATTTAATAATTATTGTAACTATGTAGAAAGGTTTAAATCAATCACATTTCAACAAATATACACTGCCATTCAAAAGACGATTTCTTAAAAGTTTTTGAAAGGAGTCTCTTGTGCTCACCAAGACTGCATTTATTTGGTCAAAACTATATAAAAATGTAATGTTATAAAATATTACAATTAAAATAACTTCTATATTTGAATAGATTTTAAAACAATTTATTCCTGATGGCAAAGTGGAATTTTCAGCACCCATTACTCTAGTCTTCAGTGTCACATGATCCTTCGGAAATTATTCTAATATGCTGATTTGGTGCTCAAGAAATATTTTTTATTAGTGTTCAAAGCCGTTTGTGCTGCTTAATATTTGTGGAAATAGAGACCGTTTTTTCTTTTATTCTTTAATGAACAAAGTATAAAGAACAGAAAATTCAAAGAACGGTAAAGAGAACAGTAAACAGCAAACAGTAATTTATAACATTACAAAAGATTTTTTTTTTCAAATAAATGCTTTTGATCAATTGAGTTTATCCGTACTGAATAAAAGTATTAATACACTTTCAAAACTTACTGACCCCAAATGTATTGAACAATAATGATCTAATAAATATTTTTAATAAATCCGAATGTTTAATTATAATATTTAAGTACAATTAAGAAAGCAAAGCAATTGACAACTATCACAAAGTGATACAACTATAAAAGTCAGCAAGTAGAACATGCTAGTCATTAATTAAAAAACCTGTTAAACTGGAAAACACAGGGCCAAAATGTGGCAGTCAGGTGCTATTGTAGGACTTGTCGCATCTAATAAAGGATTAGTCTTCAAAAAGAATAGGATTAGTCAGTGTGACATAGGAAGTGTGCCATCACGCATTGGTATGGCGACACTTACACTAAATTATGATGTTTAATGCTATGTTTAATACTATTTCAACTCCAAACATTCTTCAATGCCTTTAAACGAGTGTAAAACTGTCATTTACAGATTCACAGACAGAGAAGAATATCTTAAGAGTCTTAAATGAGACAGCTGGTGTCTGCACTCCAGAAAAAGGGCGAATTAGGTGACGGGGAATCTCTAAAACCCATTCATACCTATAGGCATTAACCTATTTACATTTATTATAGAATACTTCCACTATGATTGAAGCAAATTAAACATCTGAATGAAAACGATAAATTATATTCATCTGGATGCACAAAATGTCTAAAAGACACAAACACCTGCTATAAATGTGCAAATGCACCACTTAAACACACAGGATAAATGAAAAAGCATGTGCTGTTGCGCAAGTGCACAGACCAAAACAAAACCATTAAAAGGCAATACCACAAGTTGAACTTTCTTAAACTGACTAACAGACACATCTGCAGAATTTAAACTATTTAAAGCATTTGCATCGAAACCACAAAATGCAAAAGACACATTACTTATTCTGCTTCATAATGCATGCAGTTCTCTTCATTTTGAGTCAGCGAGTTCCTTGTCCTGAATACTTAGGTCCTTGGAGGCTCTAGTACCATTTAAAACCAAGCAGCATTTGGTGGGCCTGTCCCATCCCATCCCTCCCGAACTGCCATTTACTCACCTTGGCACAACTTGACATGGTTGATGTAGTTAGAGATCCAAGGGTTCCGGTACATATTGATAAAATAAAATGAGTGGACGATAGATAAGAAAAGAAAGTGACCGGAAAGGAGGGAGGGGGTTGTGAAGGACCAAAGAGAGGAGGAAAACAGGAGAGAGTGAGAGAGGACTGCAGAAAGGAAGCAGTGTCTGAACTGCAAGGTGATGCAGAGTTAGCTGCAGCAGTCCTGGGACAGCCAGAGAAGGGAGGTGGAGAGAAAGAGAGAGAGAGAAACGCTGCGAGAGGAGGAGGAGAACAGTATATCTCCAACACTATGACACTATGCTGACGGAGAGCCTTTTGCTGTCTGCATGGCTACTGCTAAATGCTAGCAAGGTAACTACGGTGCTAATGCTGCTCACTGCTAATCAGATTAACAATAATGAGGCTGGGGGATGAGGGGAGAGAGAGAAATGTACAGAAAAGGGTGAGAGGGGGAAGACAACAGTGGTCAGACGGTAGCGGTTGTGTGCACTAGCAGCTGCATACAGTGGATGTGTGTTTAGCTTTTAGGACAGCTGAAAGGGCGAGAAAGTAAGAGAAGATAAGTGTCTCAAAGGAACTAGAAATTCCACTCATCTCTGAGCAATGACATCTGTGTGGTACTGACAGAAAGAAAGAGAGTGGAAAAGCAAGATCTCTGCCATGGGGAACATAACTTGCCAAGTCATATTGTTGTGTTAAGTGCTCAAAGGAGGACAAAATAATTGACGACGTGTGTAGTAGAAAAATCATTCGATTTATGAACTTTCCCACTCTGTATTCCCAATATCAATAGATGATGCTGTGTTAAATAGGTTTAGATTTTTCATTTTTACTATCCTGGTCCCTGTGGTGTCGGAAAAAACAAACTTACTTGCTTGAGTTTCTTCTCTGGAATAACGATGAGTTTCAAAAGAATTACTCTGACCAAGCGCACCTGTTAGCTCTGGGGTTCAAATGGAATAAAATATTCAAACCAGCAGCCAAACTCAGAAATTCTCGTGTAATAAAGTCACCCATCTGTGAGGAAGACATTGACTGCTGAGGAATGGAGGAAAAGATGAAAGTGTAAAGAGAAAAAAAATGATGGTGAATTAATGGACAGTAGGAAAAAAAGCTAAAGCAAGCTAAGTTGCCATTTTATATTTTTATATACTGCAATATAATTAAAATTTCAAATGGCTGTTTTCTATTTGAATATATTTTAAAATGTAATTCATTCATGTTTTTACTATTATCAGTGTAGCTTAATGTTGCGAAAATTATGATGCAAATTCTCAAGTTCAAAAGAACAGCATTTATTTGAAATAGAAATCTTCTGTAATATTATAAATGCATTTGCTGTCACTTTTGATCAATTGAATGCATATTTTGGTGCAAGAACTAACAGACGTAGGGCCCTATGATTTCCGCGATGCAGAAAACGCGGACAGGATCGCGGAATTCAGTCATAAAAATGGAATTTACTGTATAACACAGAATTTCACAGTATTTGCCAAAAAATTTTTAGATGAATTAAAAATAGGTCATTACACTTGAATCAGATCACAATATGGACTAGTATCTGTAAATAAGTATCTGTTTCGTTTACTATACTGAAGCTCGCGTCTCGCTTACGGTGATTTCAGCATCTGTCCTCTCACTAAATGAGGACATAAATACATAAACAACATTTCCAGAACTGAGAGTCATTTAATGAGCACTTTACAGTTTAATTTGAGCAAAACTAGCATATCATATACACGCACAAATTTAAAGGTATTCTCGGCAACACTTCAAAATAAAAGTTCAGTTTAATCTGAAGGCATTGTGCCAGACATTTTTCAATAATTAATAGGTAAATAAAATTAATGTTTTGTGCCTTCATTTGATAACCAGAAAAATTAAATACACAACACTACGGCTATTGTAAGAATAAATTTGAATAAATTAAGTTGTTTTAATGCATTAAAAAAAAAAGACATATGCTAAAACACAGAATTTGGTAACAATAAAACATAAGGTGAGAAAAAAAACATTTCATAGGGTCCTAAACATGTAATTTTTGTTAAACTTATAATAAATTGATGTGAAATTGTATAAGTTTCATGATTTCATGATCATGAACTAGGGATGCACGATATTATCGGACCGATATCGGAATCGGCCAATAATAGCTTTAAATGTACATATCGGCATCTGCCCGATATGAAAAAATATGCCGATATGTCTTGCCGATAAGAGGAATACGTTAACTCACATGTGCTCAAGGTGTGCTAGCGATTAGACTACATCAAAAGTGTAACTCATTCTGGAAGCAAAGTTTTGCCTGAATGGCAATTAGATTCACTGCTTTGGATCGCTGCATTTAAACTGAGAATGCACGTACAGAATGACACATTTGGTGTATGATAGAGTAGACAGTAATAGCACGTGCAGCGGCAGCAGCGGCAGCTTCCCCCGGGTCCTAACGCCCCGTTCGGTAAGGAGTTTTAATTCCGTAGGGGTGCTGTTGGCCTACTTTTAATTAAATGAAAATAAAATACACAAATAACATTTAGACTTGTGTTTCTGATTAAATAAAGCATTAATTGATGTCATAAAATCATGAGTATGTTTTGATTTAAAGGTCAGAAGCTATCACTTACATGAATAAAAAAAAAAAATCACAAACATGACACTTTTAAATTAAATAATTTTATATATACTGATTTATTCATTAATGTGTTATATGTTATTTTTTAAACAAATTATGAGCTCTAAAGATTTTCAGAATGTTCACAACTCTTTTGCTTTAGACCATCTACAAATGTTAAATCTTAAAATAAACAAAAAGAAAAGTAAAACTAACGGTGACCGTGCTTGCATGTCAAAAATTTTTTAAATAATTAGCTACACTTGGTGTTGTTTCCAAACAAAAAGAAATATATCGGTATCGGCCAAAATGAACTGAAAAATATCGGCATATCTGATATCGGCAAACATCCAATATCGTGCATCCCTAGTATGAACAAATAACTGAAGTCAAGTCCTTTTTCTAATATTGTGAAAGTGACAAACAATCTAAGACGTCAACTTACATAACAAAGGAAAGGCTTACAGTCAACCCAATGTTAACTCTATGGAAATAGCCATATTTAGCCCTCTAAACCAGGACTGACAACCAGATTCTGCTGCTGTGAGAATGTATTATAAATGGACATTATAAATAACATTATAATGGAAAAAAAAAAGTTTTAAAAAATGGCCACTGGGATACAAAAAGGACTGAGGGAGGCAGTACGAAGCTCACAAGACATTGGAAAATAAGAAACAGGCCAGTGTGGAATATAGGGAGAGTAGACAGCAGTAGAGAGAACTTAACCTCAGTGTGCATTCAAGCAAGCAGGGCATTTAAGCACTCGTGTACATGCAGAATGGCATTTGCCCTGCACTATTTATGGCCTATTATCCTGACTGCAATGTTTCCACTGCAATACTTATCATACTCATCGACACACAAACAAATGCCCTTAAGGATGGCCTGAGACTGAGACCCATCAAAAATCAAGAATGTGTCAATGAGTGTCTCAAGTGGCCAGAGAAACCAGCTGCTGTTGTTCTTGACACAATCACAGAGCCAATGTGCCAATCAGTGTCTGACGGAGATCAGCCTTCATCACAGACCATGATTAGGAAATCAAAGACATTCCAGAGACTGAACTAATATCTAAAATAATCAGCACTTGAGTTCCAGTCGGGATCTAACTAAAGGCAGAAAAGAGATGACATCACAGCGTGACACTCGAGGAGGGCATGTGCACTGCCTTGTCATTACAAATAATAATGTAATCTACTAGTTCCTCTGAGACTGGTTTGCTTTCTCAGATGACAAATAGCACAAATATGACATCATCCCTTGATCCAAAACACACCATCTAATGACATGGTCTTATGCACATGTGCTCAAGTATTTACAGCTCAAACTGTTGGGCTTGGATTAACACCATCTGCACGCTATAGTAGTAAATAAAGATTAAAGTGGTAAATGGTGACAATAAACTCAAGCAAACAGAAATAAAGAGGAATTATGAGACAAATTAAGCCAAAAGGCCATGCAGTGGGTCTAAGCTTAAATCCAGAGTTTAAAAATCGCATGTTAGCCTAAAAATTGTTTTCTGTGTACCAAAAAAATTCATAAATCTAAGCAAAGAGACTTGGCCACATTTTTGGTTTATTGAATTTTAGCATTTATCATCAATTAAACAGTACTGTCAAATGTCCCAGGGAAGGCAAATAAACAGATTATAAATGAATGGAAACATTTAGGAAAGCCAGGAAAAAAATCTGATCCATTTTAGCAATTAATTAAAGTCTGGATAGTTCAAATTTGACTAGCAGAAATCTAGCCGTGTTTCTGGGCTCTCTTAAAGTTAACATACTATACCCCATGTTCAGCTTGTCCTCAAAATGGCCCTGATTTCCCCACATATCAACTTTCAGAAGGTCCCGTGCCAGAACAACACTACCTGGCAAGGAGTTTAAGCTAATCTGACTTTTGGTTTTCTAATACAACTAAATTATCTGCTACAGTGCCGTGAAAAGTTTTTGCCCCCTTCCTGTTTTTTAATTTGTTTTGCATATTTGTCACACTTAAAAGATTCATATCATCAAACAAATTTTAATATTACACAAAGATAATGCAACTAAATACAAAATGCAGTTTTTAAATAATGATTTCATTTATTAAGGGAAAAAAGCTGTCCAAACCTACCTGGCCCTACGTGAAAAATTAATTGCCCCCTCC